AAAACGAGTTGAACAGTTCATTTTCGTGACACCGAGATAAACCTCTTTAGCCGTCAAAAAATGCGGAAAACAGTACGAACTGCCTCCTCCTACCACTCCTAACAACACATTGAAATCCGATGTAGCACGTTGACGACCACGCGATTTGGTCATTTTGGCTGCGTGGTACAGGCGCGATTTTCTAGCGCGACGACCGCGGTACACATGCGTTTACAAACCTCGAAACAGACTTTCGCTTGATCTTCGCCACCACACAACTGCTTCTACCTCTGATCTACCGTCGACGCCTGCGGCCAAAAAAAAACTGTTCGGCCGAAATTGAGGGACCGGCAAAAAGAGTGAGACAGTAGGCGCTGCGGAGGGCGCAGACGGGTATGGTGACAAACTTCGCCGTGGATTCGAAATGAACCCTTGAATTAGAAAGTTTTATGGTAAATTTTTCCATGCCACTGCGAAGAATTCAGTCAGCTAAAGTTCTGTACCTAATGGCAAACTATTCCTTTTATTTACCTGCTGATCTCGCAAAAAAAGTCGAAAAATTGCAGGAAGCTGGAGTTATCGCAGAATTCGAGAAAGCTTTGTCAAATTTAGGTATACCTAATTCCTGTGAAAAACACAGTTTGTAGTCATGATAAAGTATGGTCTACCAAGAAAATATTAGGACGGTAAGAAAGTCCTGAGCCGTTTGACACTTTTTTTGCTTTACTTTTTTATTCCGCGTACAATGGAATCTACTCAACAATATAATCACCATTGTTACTCACTACAGAGTCCCACCTAATGGGCAGGTCAGCGACCCCCTTCTCCCAGAACTGAGCAGACTGAGAGTCAAAGAAATCGCTGACCGCTCTTTCAACGTCTTCAACTTTGGTGAATTTTTTCTTCGCTAGGAATGCCTTAAGGGATGAAGTAAGTGATAATCAGAGAGGGCAATGTCAGGGGAATAGGGTGGGTGGGGAACCGCGTCCCAGATCAGCTCTTCCAATTTTGCACGGGTCTCTTTAGCTATGTGGGGCCTGGCGTCATCGTGGAGTAGGTGGACAGAAGTTCGTCTCGGTCGTTTTTCTTGAACAGCGTCCGCTAGTTTCTGGAGCTGACTGGCGTAAATGCTGCCGGTAGCGGTATGTCTTGCGGGAGCAGCTCATAATACAACATTCCTCACGAATCCCAGAGGCAGCAAAGAAGACAGTTTTGGGGTGAAGGTCCGATTTTGCTTGTGTCGGCGGGTCTTCTCCTCGAGGGAGCCACACGGCACTGTGCTTGTTAGAATCGTAGAGGACCCAACTCTCATCTCTCGTAATCATGCCTTCCAAAAACTCCTTTCGGTGCGGACAAAGAAGGAGAAACTGACCCGCCTGAACCGCGTGCTATCGGTCAAGACATGAGGATCCATCGAGTCGGCACTTTCCTGTGGCGAGGGCGTGGAGGGGACCGAGGACTGTGGGATGGGTGCACCCGAGTCTTATCACAAGGCTGCGGGTGCTAACCTCCGGATCCTCTTCGACAGCGCCGAGAACGGTGGAGTCTTCCACTGTTTGGGGGCTTCCCAACCTTGACTTGTTTTCGGAAGCCGTGTCTCCTCCTTCGAAGCCTGCGAACCAGAGCTTGGCACTGATGATGGAAGTGGTGTCCCTTCCCAATGCGATGCTGATAATGTTGACGGTTTCCACTGCTCCTGTGCCGCAGCCATTCATTGAAGATGATCGCTCGAAAGTGCTCTTGTGGAATCGACATCATGATTAAAGTTAAAGAAGGCAACCCGGCTATATATACCTACTGCGGAAGTATGATCGACAGCGATAATCTATCACGTAGCAGATTCTAGGTATCGATCAATAAGCGAAAGTTCTGGAGCTTTCGAAAAATCGGCTCAGGACTTTCTTACCATCCCAAGTACAAAAAACAGCAAAAAGCTAGGATGCGCGAAAAAATGTAGATGACATGGGTTGGGGGGGGGGGTACATGCCCTATCGTCAATCGTTTCAAACGATTGAGTGCTATTGCAAAATCCGGGGACATTCTCTAGACCAACAATAAGCCTATGAAGGGGCAAAACCTTGGGGTATATAAAAATCGCTCACGCCGTGGAGTCTCTTCTTCCTCGCCTAAGGCTTAGCCACGTTTCCATTGAAAAGGAGATGTTTTAAGCGATTTCAAATTGAAAGTCACCACAACGCCCCTTATCCTGCGATAGCGTCATCGATGGTTTTGGTGCATAAAATATAAAGTGCTGGGCAAATGTTTCTTATGTTTCGAACACCTTTCCGGAAAGAGAAAGTGCAAGTTTCACCAGGATTTTCAAAATGTGATTCCGAGACGTCGCTCGCCCATAAATCTTAGTCGTCTAATATCTTGCCTCAATCAAAGTGAATGAATCACTGAGAGAACCGGACAGACATCTCCTCTTGCCCCACTTTTACCAACGACCGTCCGACTTTTGCCTGTTTGGAATCGGAAAACTGAAAGTGACAGTCACATATCAACTTCGCATCGGCATTTTCATAGAAATGTGATGCTCGTCACAGGAACTTACTTTGAATCAGCACTTGAGATCTACTTCATCCTTATTCTATTAAAGAGAAGAACCCTTGGAAATGCCATAGACCGAGGCTATCAATCACAGAATTACAAAGCAGTCGAAAAAGTCAGCTAAGAGCTGGAGCAGTTTACAATGGTTTTCTCATGAAGGTTATGAAAGGAAGATTAGCTCTGGGCTGCACGCCACTACTCTACTATGGTCGAAGCTTCAGAAACAGGCAACTGCAAACCTTCACTTCACCGAATTAGTTCGTTGAATAGATGAGGCTCAGCGCCCATAAGTATTTTTTACAGCTTACACCCATACACTTACTTCATATTCTTTTCTACATACATACACATGCTATACGAATAGCTTTTCTTAAGAGCATCCGCCCGAACAAACAAAAAAACCCCAAACCCAAACAATTTCACGAACCCTCTCCTCTACAAAGTGACCGATTATGGTCGTGCGGTATCACTAGAATGGTGTGGTTCTGTCAAAACCACATAACCGACGGGAAATAATTTCCTTAGCAATCCTTTGCAAGACTTGTGCTGGTTTTTATGCCTATTTGATTAGGCTGAAGTAATGTTCAAAGTTCTCTCGATGTGCGGAAGTAGTTTCTGGGTTGCCACAATGATTGCAAAACTCGAATCTCGATTTATGAAGTGGTATGCTAAGGAATATTTCGAAAAGGCTAGGATTTGCTTTTGCCATTTCTTCTTTCTTCTAATTAAATTACCTTCCACAAATCCAGCAGCATATCCTTGTTTGTATGGTTGCGTTATTCGTGGTGAAACTTCGACTTCAACATATGCCCATCTGTAATCGAAATTGGATTACAGACTGAAGCCGCATCTGCTCGAAACAATTATGTCACCAAGAAATTCATAAGTTCGACTCTGTCGAGTCGTAGACGTAAGTTTTCATGTCGTGTTTGTTGAGTAACATCTGACGGAGGACAATTAAATGAGTCATAGGCACAATGCGCATACCCTGTTTCATTGATTAGATTGCTGTATTTCACCTTCGCCACGTGTTTCAGACATAGATTCTCTTGTCCTTCGTATTCCTTGAAGTAATACGACTGACCAAATTCGTTTTCACACAGACCAAACTAAAATATGTATAGTATCTAAATTTCAATCGATAGTAACATGGTTTTGAACAACTAACCGTCCCATCTCCATCGAGTTCCAAGGACTTTTGTGACCAGTTTTTTCTCGCCTTCTGTCCATTGGTTTGCAAGACTAATAGCAATAAATGGATAGCGAAATATTTTTTCATTATACAGATGTTGGCCAATGCAAGTTCACTCTATCGATTGGCGGCTGATCCGAGTTTTGAACGGCGGTTCGCGGCTAACCTTCAACTGCAACAGGTATCAGCAAATTATGCATTTGACACAAAATCTATATTTATTATTGTAACATTGTTTGGGATTTTTTGATGTTTCGGTTGAGTTCCATGCTTAGAATGAAATCGAAGTGATCTCATCGACTTTTAAGTTGATTCACATTTAGTTAAGAGTCGTAATTTAGGTTTTATCAAAAGGTTAGAGATCAACGGCATATAATAGCAAACCTAACTCTTTCTACATGTCCAGAAGTCAAGTAGAATCACTTATTCGAAATTAGGCATGGAACTCGGCTGACCAAAGCAAGGAACAATAGAATTAGAATATCCTATACTGAAGTGGATTTCCAGTTTTGCAGTCAGTTCTGACAAGGGAGATTCTAACGAGCCACTGCTAGGATGCTAACTACTTCGGTAGTTATCACAATTGAAAAAAGAATTAGATATTAGAAGAAGTTAAGACATTAATAAGGAATTCTTTCACATTCGAGTACAGAGGAGTGTCGAAACACAAAAACAAGGATGTATAACGTGATAATGTTGCACTTTTTGTTCGAGCCTTGATAAGATTGTTCCAGTGAGGTCGGGGTCAGCGCCCTAATTGAATTGATGATACTTCGGGCACACACTCTGTACATCTGACGGGAAACGTGTGGTTAGCGCCGCATAGGAGCCATAGATTGACTTGAAACTACTATGTGATATTACAGCAACAGATGGCCTGTTATCAGCGAGATCCAGCAAGCGGTCAGCTGTTTTTCAGCTGGCCGATACGACAGCGAACGGGACGTTTCTAAAGATAAATGTGACGTTTCTGGGGTAATAATAGCGCAAAGGCGATCCAAAGGGTCTTGGGCGACAGGATCTTCGGAGGCACATTCTTTATCCTTTTAAAAGGTCATCGCGGAATCGACTTACGAGGTGATGGGTGGGACAGCATTGAAATCCGTCGTTAAGGCTGCTGGAGGACTAACTGTGACTGACAACTACAGTTTTACGAGGTGTTCGGCACTTTTACTTGAGATTGAGAGTGCACGCAACCTTAGAATCTGGGTGAAACCTACGCTTCTTTGTAGTTTCTCAGAAAATACATTGAAAAATCTGCCATCTACTGATTATTTCGTTGAAAGCTTTGTAAAGGATTTAAGTGGTTTTTTTTTCTTGAATAGATCTGCTGGACCTTCCAGCTACTCTAATTTCTTTGTACAGTCACGTTTATATTTCGAGCATTTATTTGACACACGGCTTAAGGTTGGCGCTTATTCTACAGGGTGGTCCAAAATTATGAGGACCAAGACATTGTGTCGTTAAAAACGCATAGTAGCTTGATGGAACAAACCAACTTCAGGGAAGTATTTGTAACTCTTACCTCAAAGTAATTCCAGAATAGAATTGAGATCTGCCCTGCCCCGTTACACGAGCCTTCAGATGAAGGGGATGGCGCGTGCGGTGGCACGCAACTGAGGCGTGTCCAAATGTTTCCAGGCCTTCTGCTCTGCCTTCTTCAGGGAATCAAAGTTTTGTGGGGCATTTATTTGCGCTTGCATCCAGGGTGTGAAATACAGAAATCTAGAGCTATCAGGTGGAAAGGTTCCATTGTAACAATTCTTCGAAAGCAACGAACTCGAAAAATCGCTTTTTAGAGAATTTTTGCTTTATTCTTGGGTGCTCGGTCCTGTAAGAAGTTCTAAGTAGACTACTCGTGTGGCTTTCTATCCACTACAGATGTGGAGTCTTTAGAGTGTCTGGCTGGGTTTTCACATCAATTTTTTCATTTTGGGTGTACGAAAGTCGACAAGGGGAGACCTAGTTTCTGCATCTGATAATTATCCTGGTGGTAACTGTAACTTTCGAGTCCCGAATTTTCCATCTGTGGTGGTTCCAAACTTATTGAAGAGTTGAACTGTTGCTCATAAGGGCTTCCTGATAGGTTAGACTGCTGCTAGATGTAACGTGCCAGAGCCCCTAGTGAGTTCAATTTGAGGACTGACTCAAAGTGAAGTAGTTATTTCACTAGTTTTGAGAACTTCATGAAATTTGGTTTCATTAGGAAGAAGACATGTACCCTTTCACATAGTGCACAGAAAACGAGATGAAAATGGAGCGATACGGAAAAAAGTGGATATGACTGCGCGCGCACGCGGTCCTCATAATTTTGGACCACCCTGTATTCGAATACATTGAGCACATCAATTTGTCGGTAATGGAATTTTTGGGGAAAATGAAAATAATCGCTTGGCATTTGATCATTATTGAAGTCCGTTACTCTTCTGCATCCCATCCATCCAGATGGGCTTTGAAAGCGTATGTAGCTTATACAATGACTTTTAATGACTAATCAGGTGTGCGCAATTAGCCCTTTTGTTCTTCCGGAAGGCTTGTACACTCGGGGAAGTTTTTGAGACCTACTTCCCATATACAATTTTTTCGTGTACAATTCATTTTGATAGTCAATATCACGATAATAACAAGTTATCAGATTGTGGAATGGATCATAACAAATAGTTTATATATATATATATATGTTTTTTTTTTAAATTCCTTGAGCCTTCTGACCAGA